CAGGTGGGGTCTCACAAGAGCAGAGTAGAGGGGAAGAATCACCTCTTTTGACCTGCTGGCCACACTCCTTTTGATGCAGCCCAGGATTCCGTTGGCTTTCTGGGCTGAGCGCACTCTGCTGCTCATGGAGAGCATCGCATCCACTGTCACTCCCAGGTCTTTCTCCTCGCTGCTGGTCTCAATTACTTCCCCACCCAACCTGTAGGTATGCCTGGGATTGCCATGTCCCAGATGTAGGACCTTGCACTTCATTTTGTTGAGCTTCATGAGGTTTGCATTGGCTCACCTCTCAAGCCTGTCAAGGTCCCTCTGGATGTCCCATCCCTTCCCTCCAGCTGTGACTGCCCCACACAGCTTGGTGTGGTCAGCAAACTTGCTAAGGGTGCACTCAATCCCACTGTCCATGTCACCAGCAAAGATGTTGAACAGTATCGGCCCCAGCACCGACCCCTGAGGGACACCACTCCTCATTGGCCTCCACGTGGACAATGAGCTGCTGACCACAATTCTCTGCATATGACCATCCAGCCAGTTCTTTACCCACCGAGTGGTCCACCCACCAAATCCATGTCTCTCCAATTTAGAGACAAGGATGTCATGTGGAACAGTGTCAAATGCTTTGCATAAGTCCAGGTAGATGATCCTTCATTAAGGCATATCTTACCACCATCATCAGCTGCAGTGAGGTGCCCCAGTGCCCTTTGGTTTGGAAAAGTCAGCTCTAAATGGTTAGAGCAGGCCAGGAAAGCAGAAAACAGACAGAAAACTGCAAGACGTGTGCCCATGGGCATGGCCCAACCTTCCCAAGCAGGCATGTCCTCTGGTTTCTCATGGGCCTCCCTCTACAGATGGGGCAAGAAAGCTGCAAGCTGCCCAGGGGAGGGAGGGAAGGCCTCACGCTGGGACAGCGGCACTGACGCAGCTCTGCAGGTCAGGGCCTGGTACGAGCATGCAAAAACTATCATCTACATGCCAGGACCACTCATCCAAGGTGGCTTGCTCTCTACAGAAATTGAAAGCTAAATTTCATTGTGGAGTCAGAGAAAGCTGCCTGGGCAATCCCCCACTGGGAGTTTACATTTATCCCCCAAACATCTGGAAAAGCAGCAAGAGGAAAATTCACCCCTCTCTTCCTTGACTAAGGAGGCTAAACCTGGACCACCTGATGCTTTTTCCACAGACACAACCAGGCTCACAGTGTCAGAGCTGGTTTTAACCAGCTCCAGAAGTTCAACCCACCCAGCACAGAGAAGAATAAACCTCCTCCCAAGCCTGTTTTCAAGCAGATGACCCCTCCAGCAGGGAGCACATCCCACCCAGCCTGAGCCTTTCCTGGCTGCACCAGCCTTGCTCCCCCTGCCAGGGGAGCAGCCCCAGATCCTTCTGCCCTACATGGCCTCCACAAATTAAAAGCTTTTCTCTGCAGCTGGTCCCCAGAGATGCTGTGAAACACTATGGAGACCACAGGCTGTGTTATCAGCACAACCCTCACGTGTATTTGTATGTGACAGTCTGGCTGGTTTGACCTCCAGGAAGGTGTGGAACTTGCCTCAGCACAAGCAGTTTGAGAACAGACCTCACAGCCTGGTCTCTACCATAGACAGCAGTTTGGCACAAAGCAAATGCAGATAAAATGAGGAAATCACAGGAAATCCATGCACTCTCAGGAGCAAAGGGCCACAGAGTTCCCTTGGTCTCTGAGCTCCAAAAACATAACTTGCACAGCTAAATACCTTCCACAAAATAAAGGGAGAACTTGTAAACACAATCCAGACTAATTTCTGCTTCAACATCTCTGCAAAGTATTCCACTGAGTAGTGCCCCAGCTAAAACCACCTCCAGAGCCAGGCTCCTCTTCCTCCATGTGAATGGAATATCTTGCTTCCTCTTACAAGGAATGATATGGAAATGTTTCATATAAAAAACAAGTCACAGGCTGCTACTGGTCAGTCATTTTCATTGAAAAACAGCCCCACAGATACTTACCATCTCTGCCCAGAAGGTTGCAGGGATGATACTCTGATTGGAGAGTTGGAGAGTTTGGGAAGTCTCCTGCAGTACTTGGATCCTCCCAAAGTTTATTGAACTTGGATATGTGTAGACAACTGGTCCACGTCCAGTGCTCACTAAATGAATTTTCTGTTCCAGGAAGCAGGTAAGAAAGATTTATTTAAAAAAAAAAAAAACAGAACAGGGAAAGTTAAAAAGTTTAAACAGCTCAATCCCACACAAGTGATTTCTTTAAGGACAGCTGTGATTCTCCATCTGAAATGCTCACCTTTGGGGCTTAAAAGTTGACATATTCACCTCCAAATTAAAAAATACTTAGGTAAGTGAAACTTTAAAACTATAAACTGTTGGTCTAAGGGCAAAAGCTTTGCAAGAAATCTGTCGTTAAAAACAGGCTGACAGTGAAACAACTGGTTATTCTTTTTAAGGCAAGCACCTGGATAGTTATGAGCAACTGTTTTGTCAAACTTCAGACTCTCCTGCACAGCCTGCACTGCTGGCCCTTCCTGTTGATTGGTTTGCATGCACAGCCACAACAGCCTGGGTTGAGGTGCTTGGTGCCATCCAGGGGATTTAGCATCATCATTTCCATTTATTTTAAGAAAAGTTTAAATCCCTGCAATTACTTTTCAGCTGTCAACCTTCCTTTCTCTTACAGAAAGCTTAAGATTCCCTGGAATCCTCTGACATCATCTTTTATGCTCAGAGAGATGACATTTTAAAGCAGATATCTCTATTAAATTAATGTGTTAAATTAAAGGTTAATTAACTAAAATTATTCTGGATTTCATCTTAGATGAACTATATGCTGTGTGGGACACTGAGATTACCACCTACAAGGATTTTACCCTTCCTCTTCTTCAGTCATGAGCTGTTGCTTATGCTAGCAATCCCTTCTGTCCTTGTCCACACTAGCCATATAGCACAAGTCCCTGTTTTCCCTGGAAGAATCCCTGTCCACTTTACACACCACCAGGATGAGTGGCACAAGGCACACATCTGCCCTCACACTCACCAGTGGAGATCCTTCACTCCCAAACACAGCAATGTCCACAGTGATGTCATGCTCGCCCAACAATTGGGCTTCAAGTATAAACGGGATGTCCACCGAGCTGTGAGCCTTGATAATCTGACATGGCTCGGGGGCGGAGTACCGCACAGCAGCAGCCTCCTTGTGTTCCTATATGGGACAGAATCAAATCAACTTCAGAGGAACATTTGTGGGAACTTTAAACTACTTAACATCTACTACAACAGCTACTCAGATGCATTTTTAAAAATCCCCAGGAGAAAGCAAAAGGGCACAAAACCAGAAGCAAGGCTTGTAGGGGCTTTGCAACCTCAGTGGCTCCAAAAGCTGCTGCACCCAGATACCCACTTCTGTCTGTACTGGTAGCCTCCTTGCAGCAGCTTTTCACAACCCTCTAAACAATCCTGTATGAAAACACCCCAAAGACTAGAATATAAGCTGCTTCCTAAAGTTTATATTCAGGCTAAACTGCTTCCTAAAGTTTACATTCAGGTAGGATCCTGTTCTCAGCAAACCTTTGGATTTGAATAGAAACCAGCAAGGTCTTATCCCAAACTCTCTTTTCCCTAATCAACCCCTCAATAATATTTGGGAGGAGGAGGTGGATGTGATGCCAAACCTGAGGGAGAACCCTGTAGCAGCCAGGAAGGTTGCTGTCATTTACAAGGGTCAGCGTCTGCTGGTAAGGGAACTTTAAATAGCACTGTCCAAAGGTCACAACAGGGTTGAGCACATGCAGCGGAGGAACGACACATCTAGGCAGAGAGAGGACCACAAGGGAATTAGAGCTACTGAGAGAATGAAGAATGTTTGCCCCTGAAGAGCATAATATGGAGCAGAACACATTTGTCACTGCTGAACAGACATCTAATACCCCTACAGTGATAAATTCTTTTGAATGTCTTTTCACTCAAACATGTCTTCTCAAGGAGGGACAGACCCCGACACTCAGCACAGGCACAGCACATGCCCTGTCCGACAGCTGTCTCAGCCTCTCCTTTGCCCAAGGAGGATTGCAAGGACCCTTCCAATAGGCCCAGCAAGCTGTGAGCTCTGAGGGAGCCTTCCCATCGAGGAGTAGTGCTCACCAAGGCCCGAGGAACACCAGATTTCAGGGTCTCAGTAAAAACAATTCCCTCTTCTCCCATGGCACTGTCATCCTGCCTGAAAACTCAGCCATTCGACCCAGCAATGGAGAGCATAAGCCACCTGCCCTACAGAGAGGGCCATCACCCTCTCCCAGTTCCTACAGCTCCCTTGGTCCTTCACCTAATGGGTCCATACACAGTCTGTCCTTGTTTGCACTTGCTTTACGAAACTGCAACCCAGGCACTGCCTGGATGGCTCTGCCTGGGAAAGAGAACAGCACCAGGGAATTGCATCCCTCTTGTCATTAAACTGACACCCATAGCAGCACTACAAGATGGAATTTGGCTGCAGCAAGAACAACTTTAGGGTTAAGTCTGAGAACATGAATGCTCAAAAGAACCAGAAAGAAGCAGAGAAGCCTGAGCTCACCTGCCACATCAAGGGCTATTTTTATCTTCAAAAGATCCTGCCTTTCTTTTGCCCTCACCACTCCTGCTCTGAGTCCCATTCCCTCATAAACTGAACCAGACCTCAGCTCTCAGCAGGCTGCTTGCTGTGTCCCAAAGCAATGCTGCAGTGGGGTCACAACCCAGCACAAGTCCACCTCTTGTAGGAAGAAGGAGAGGAGGTCCTTGGGAAATTTATTAAATGTCATGCATCAAAAACCAGGCCAATCAGTGATGTAATTCCTGTTCCTTATAGAAAGGTCCCAGGGCCATGCCTGGCTGCTGAGCAGGGGTGCTTCTCGGCACAGGCTGCTTTCCAAGCACTGCTGCTCCACTATCTAGCTGGGCAGAACCAGCTCATTAAGCAACACCTGTCCTTTGGAGCTGCAGCCAGCAAACCCTGTGCAAGGCAGTGTGTTGGTGGCTGATGCAACAGGACAGACAAGCGGCTGCAAAGAAAGTCCTGGTACCTGGCTATGAGGAGCAGCGTCGATACCACCTCGCCAACACCATCCACGTCCACCACCAGTTCCAGCTTGTAGTCTCCCACAGTGTTGGAGCACAGGGTGACCTGGTGGAAGGGAAGAGCAGCAAATACCTCCTCACTCCCAAAAGCTCACCACTCAGGTGTGGAGTCCTTCAGTTCTTGTTCCATGGTCAAGAGAAAGAGGATTCTTAATTCTTCTGCTGGTCCATGTATAGAGCACAGTCTCTGGGAGTAACAAAAGCCTCCTGGCAACACTATGTTTAACACACCTTTCAGCTATCAGGGCAGAGGCAAGCTAAATCAGAGCATTAGACTGTATTCAAATTCAGGGACCTATTTTTCATCTGACTACAATGAGATAAATGCAGAGGAAATCTGCTGACTTGAACAGAATGAGTTCAGCTTTACAGCAGGAAGCAGCGGGCACAGTGTGGCCCAGCAGATGCTGAGCAGTTCACAGCTGCAGTGTTTTCTGTCCCCACTGGAGATCCCCGCAGTGAATACAACTCATTCTGCTCCTTGGTAGAGGAGGAATGAGGCCAGGAGGAAAAGCAAACAATGCCATCTCTCCCTCTTCTGTCCTCATCGTTCCTGCTTTCAATCAAAGAAATCACTCTCAAAAACATAGAAATGGCTTCTGTACTTGACCATAGTGTATGTGTGTCCTAGGTTACAATGTAGGGTGCAACCAAGAGTATGTATTCTATTATCATCTTCACAGGCTGTCAAAGCAGGTGGGGCAGTGTTTGTTATCTCCTACCATGACTCATCCCTGATAAACTCCTTCCAGAAGCTATCTCTGTTTAATGGGCTGTCATGGACCCACCCCATGACCCATAGAATTACATCTTCCCATTGTGAGATGCTTCACCCCAGGAGGAGGAGCCAAACATTCCCACCTGGATATAATCTCGGGTTTGGACCAACACAGGGAGCCCTTACCTACTGGATTCCCAGAGGACAAGAGCTACCACTGGACCTTCAGGTGAAGACCAGATCTACAGGATCACTGCTCCAACAGACCCATCACTCCAGGAGGACTGCAGCTACCATTCAATCGGACTACCACCAACACCCTGACTGACAGGGTGTCAGGCTGCTTTCTGACTCTGTCAGTGGTTTCTTTTTGTACTGTTGCATTTATTTTTTTGTTTTCCCTATTAAATTGTATTTCTGACTTGGAGTCTCTCACTGGTTTGCTTTCAAACCAGTGTAATGTGATCTCAGCTTATGATTTTGGAAACCAAATGATGCTTCTTCAGGAAGATCCCGAGTAACCCAGGTAACAAGGGCCTCACACCAGTGCAGATCTCTTACATGTGATTTTGGAAACCAAATGATGCTTCTTCAGGAAGATCCCACCCAGCCCAGGTAACAAGGGCCTCACACCAGTGCAGATCTCTTACATGATGCTCCGGGCTGGCAGCACTAAAGCTCTCCCACATGGAAGCTTCACCCCACCTGTTGAAGCATGTGTGGCCGGACTCCTTCCATACCTGGATATCCTGGAATCTCTGGGAGCCGATGGTCCTGCTGCAGGGTGTTACAGTGAACTCCATTGGCTGCATGGGACCTCGAGCTCCCTTTCTCCAGAATGGACTAGTGGCATTGGACATCTGAGCAATGCTGGTAACACTGGGCTTTCCTGAGCCGTCCTTCGGAATGCGAAGGCTGACGGTCACGGGCACCAAGGAGGTGTTAGTCAGGCGACAGGACAAAGTGTGAGGAAAGCCTATGAAAATGACATAAATATCCATTTAGGTACCAATTATCTCGTGATTCCTGGTGTGAATATCCTGGTAGGATAATACTGTGCTTATACTTTAGGTCTTTTTTATTTGAACTACAGCTCACTGAGCAGTCAGCAAGGAATTAATTGATGCTGATCCCAGATTGCTGCCTTCAAAATGCCCACTCTTAGACCTGCTAACACCACAAGCGTCTCTCTCTCTCCGCAACAGGGAGGAGCTCTCCCACCTGCCCTAAACCAGCACCAGTTGTTTCTCACTGATAAATGTGCATTCACACTGACCATTTACTCTGAAAATTCAAGCTGCAAAATTCCCTGTTAGCTCTGCCAACATTTCCAACTGTTTTCAAGATATAAAAGCAGTGAGAGGTCATAGAGGAGAAGCTACAGTAAAAGAAAGGGAGGATGGAATTGGGAACTAGAACATGATGCACCCTAATGCAGTTTATCTAGGCAGGATCCTTAAGGCATCTCCTGGTTTGGTGCAGCCAGACTGAGCACGAACAAGTCACAGCCCACTTCCCTGGAGGCAGATCCTAGGCTTGCTTCAAGATCAGCAATTAGGAACCACATCTCACCTTACCCAACAAACAGGGACAGCACACTCACACTGCACACTGGCTGTGACTGCTGCCCACAAGGGTTTACACCACTTTAGCTCTGAGACTTTACTTGCCATCATGGAAAGCCAGGGATACAGCTACACCTGGTGGGGATGTCCTGCAGAGCCAGGACACCAGCCCACACCCTACTCTGCAGTGGATATCTGGCTTGGCTGGCCTGCTCTGCAGCGAGGAGATATCTCCCAGTGCCTATTTACCAAGAATCATTTGAACACAGACAGGGAGGAAAACCATCTGCAAGCACAACAGAGAGCCTCTCCATGCCCATCAACAGGGACCACTACCCAGCTCCAGCAGTGACTCTGGCAGAGAGGTAGGAAGGGCACAAGAAGGACAAGCACAGAGGTCACAATCCCAAATGAGACCAAGGTGACCAGATGCAGACAACAGTCAGCAGCACAGTTAAAAGAAGCAAAGATACAACAGCTGCCTTCTGCTGAAGATGCCTTAGGAGAGAAATCAGATTAAGCAGGATGAATCTCTTAATAGAGAACCATATTTCTGTCTGCTGCCTTTCTTGTTGTTTCACTTATTCAATAGGAAACTAATAAGTGGCCCAGCAATGATGCAGGGAGGGGAAGAAGCAGCTCAGGAAAGGTGATGAGTTTTCTTTAAAAGTCTATGAACAGCATGAAAACACAGAGGCATTGTGTGAAGAATGATAATGGCCCTTCAATCAATCCACAATTGATTTAACATTTAAACTGCAGATCATCTCAGAAAAAAAGCCTTTTGTGAACCTCAGGTGGAGAACCAGCATCTGCATTTCGATGCCGACACTCTGGATGCTCAGCCACGATCTCTGTCAGCACAACTGGGCTTTTGGTGGGGAAGGAGAAGCTGCCAACAGCTTAGAGGACACAGGTGCCTGAGGCAGAGCTACTGCTGGGGCACTTTACCTGGCTGGGGATAATGAGCTGCCCTTACAGCACTAATTACCATCCCACACTAAAGGTCAGGTGGGTAAATGGTGTCCTTGCCTTGCAACGAGGGCATGCACCCAAAGCAGTCACAGGCTTGGTACATGCTTAAGCTCCCTTCCCTTGATGTCCCATCCCCTGGGCCCTCCTGGGACAAGGACCATCACAGTCATTCTGCTGTCAAGGATTGGGAGGTTGGAGCAGGACAGACCAGAAAATACTGACTTTCTATTCCTGTTTGATCTCATAATGGAAAAATGCTGCCTAAGGCACCAGCAGCCCTGCAGTTAACACCCTGAAGGCTTCTGTGGAGGAACACGAGTGACAGATGCTCTTATGTTCAAGTGCTCCATTATGGCAATGCACAGATTCCTCACAGTGCAGTCCAAGCCCAGGGCACACTCACCAAAGGAGACGTCACCAAAGTTGAGGACAGGCACATCAAAATGCAAAGTTGGCCCAGTGACACAGCCGCTGTGAGGACGGAGGCAGAGAAGGCAATGGCTTGGTTAAACGGAATTGCAAAGCGTTTGGCTGTTCTGACAGCTCAGCTGGATAAAAGCTGGTGTCAGAGCCACTGTGGGTTTCACATCAACCCACCACCCCGTGCTCAGCACAGCAGCCATGTGGACATGGCTCAGACTAGCTGGGACAAGCCCTCATGCTGCTGTGGTCCTGAAAAGAGAGCTTTGCCTCTCCTATCATCACCTCTTCTCTCCTTTACTAGGTGAGGATTATCTTTCGCAATAGCACTAGCCCAGGGGATGATGCACCCAAGTCCTTGTGGCAGTCCTTGCTGCAGAGCTCCGTCTCCTGCATCAGCCCTTTCCTGCTGGGGAAAGGACGTACCAGAGAGTTGCACAAGAGCTGGGAGGACAGCTTGTCCCCACACATTAACATGAGAGATGATGTGAGGCTGCTGCTGCCCATTTGGGATGGATTATTAACAGAGGATTTTAAAAACACTGATTTTGGCTGCAGAATCACCCAAGCTGGCCCATCTCCAAAGCCCTAGGGGCCTTGCTGCATGTTCAGATGGGTTGTCCCAGACCAGCTACTGCCCAAAGCTGATACCATCCCATTGCCTGCCACGGCCCAAGGCAGAGGGAGATCCCTGCAGGAAGGACTCACTTCAGCTCCTGGGTACCCACACTGGGCAGCAGGCATCCACACACTAAGGGGATGTCGGGATCAGAGCTAACACTAAGACCTCAGGCAACACTATTTTTCTCTGCTCCACCACAAAATCAGGTAGGTGGGTGACAATTACCCGGAGATATGCCCACCAAGCTCCCAGAGCTCCTCACCTGATAGTCAAGGTCACAGGCTCAGGGGATCCAGTCACATTGAACTGGAATTCTTCCCTGAACTCCCCCAGGATGGTGGAACTGAAGGAGATCCTGATAGCCTGGAGCCCCTTTGGTGCAATTATGCCCTCCCGGGGCAGAAAGGTGAAGCAGGAGCCCATGGCTGTGGCTGGAGGGACATGGCTGAAGGGAGCCTCAATAGGTCCTTTGTTAAACAGGATCACCTACAGCAGCAATAAAGCAAAATGGAAATCCATGAGGAATCTTCCTTTCTTACGGAAGGATGAGTTGCTTTCTAATTAAACAGTTAACACATGGAAAAGGCAGAAGATGCCATGTGCTGCTGTATGGCAGAAGCCAAAAAAACCACAACAGGTCAAATTCTGCTTTTGGGTTTTCATGCAAAGCAGTGGTAACTTCACACAATCTGGGCTTATCCCACGGACATGGAGCAGTCCATTTCAATTTGCAGTGCAGAGGAGCTGCTCAGCAGCACCAGGGTCATTCAGAATCAGCCCTAAGAGCAGCATGGGGTGGTGGCAGCCACACAGTGAATCACCACAGAGCTGCTGCTGCTCCAGATGTGCCTGATCCTGCCAAGGGCAGGACATGTTCAGGTTCCATTGCAGCCAACCAGTTTATTGCATGTAGAAGACACCTCAGGACAGTGCTTTCACCAACTTGAGAAGTTCTTCCCAACTCTGCTGTGGTAGATAATTTTGGGTTATTGTATTTTTTCTCTAATTTGATAGTTTTAGTCTTTGGTCAACCAGATATGTCAAGGAAGGATGAGCGTGTGGTGCACAGCAGTTCCACATACTCTAAAGAGCTGCTCTCTCACAACTATTCACAGCCATGGGGAAACCTTGCCATTGCCTTGGATTTATCCATCTGCTGTGGAATTCCTTTCCCTAATTATTTGCCTTAAAAAACCTGTCTGAACAATCGAGGCAGAAGCAGAAGGATGTCCATCATTTTCTAACTTTGCAGCTGCTGCTGAAAATATTCCTGTATTCAATCTCTGTCATGAAACTTGAAAACTACTCTCCTCTCCTGTGTTTTACATCTTAATTACAAATTGTACTTGGGGATCCTACGCTGAGCTGAGCTTTATCTGCAGTCTAGCCGCTTAGCACAGCACTAACGGTATCATCTGCTCGTCCACCTTTTCTTATGTGAAGAATATGATAAATTGATAAAGTATCAACATCAGAAAGAGTACAAAATTCTGGTAAGAAAACAACTCAGTGGTCCTTCCCTGCCACAGCCAAGCTCTTGAAAGTGTCTGGCACAATGCAGTGACTCATTTTCTACATGTTTCAACTGCTCTCTTTTTTTTTTTTTTGAGGCTTGATACCATTGGGATGGAGGCAAATAGTTACAAAATACCTTTGCTTCCCTCCCAGAAAGGCTGTGTTCTCTCTAAAACCAGAGATGCACCAAGGCTGAAGCATGGTGAGGGACTGGTCCATAAAGGAAAGCACTCCTAAGCCCTTTGCAAGGGCCAGCACTGAGCCAGAAGGCTGGATGGCTTTCCTTTCACTCCCAGGAAGAGGCAGGAGGCACTTGACTGAAAACTGTTTGCAATGGACTCGAGCTCAAATGCAGCCAGTTTATTTCAGCTACTTTTGAACAGCCCAAGTACAAAGGGCCCTTGCCTCTGGGGCAGAACAAAAGCCTCTGAACACTCAGCTTCTTGACCCGGTGTTGCCTTCCTGTGCCAAGGGGCTGTTTTGCAGGTAGCCAAGTCAGTCGGTGAGGTGGCAGTGGTGACTAAGGTGAGCATGGGGGTAAGTGTGAGATAGAGCTGTACAAGGGGTTACAGACCGAACAGGGTGGGCAAAGAGAGTGGACAAACAAACAGGGCCGGGAACAATCTGGGTGAACAGAGTGGCAAACAGGGAGTGAACAGGGCTAGGAACAGTGTGGGTGCAGCAGTTTGCGCAAGCAGGGCAGTGCAGTCTCCCTCCCACCAGCTCCAGAGGAGAGGTCAGGAATGGTTTCCATTCAACAGGGCGCTAAGTCCTCTGTGTGTGCCAGAAAGGATGCGGCACACAGACGGAGCTGCTGTGGAAACATCCAGGGGTGCACTGGCAGTAGAAGGCAGCAGAGACAATACCTATGTGAGATGTGAGCAGGTTGACGATCTGCTCTGCTTGGTGAGGCAACTCAAACAGGGGGCAGAAGGGTTAAGGAGCATTAGGACATCTGAGGAAGAAATTGACTGGTGGAGCTGTTCTCTACCTACCCTGATGTGAATGTACCAGCCAAATGCATCTCAGGAAGTGGAGGATCCTCTCCCCTCTCTACAACAGGCAGGAGGGGACCTAGGAGTTGGCAGGGAATGGAGGCAGGTCCTGCTCTCGGTGACAGAAGAACTCCGTCCCAGCCTCTCTCCCCATATTCCTTTACAGAACAGGTATGAGGCTTTGGAAACACGCCTTTCAGACCCATCAAAATGATCCAGAGTCTGTGAAACCCCCAAATTTGACTAGTACATCAAATACTCTGTGCTCACACCTGTACAAATTGCTAAAAATTCTGCAGGTCCAGAAGGTTCACTTGCCGCCCCAGGAGCCATCAAGATCCACCCCAAGCCCTGCTGCTTACCTCATAGCTGTGGGCTTCTCCAACAAAAATCTTCCCAATGTCGAGTTCCTCCAACCCGAAATGGAGCTGGGGCCCGAGGCCTTTCCCTGTGAGGCACAGGGGCAGCCTGGTCTCACGGCCTGGGAAGAGATTTGTATTTCAGTACACCATTCCCTCTGTTATCCGGCATTTTCCAGGCTGGATGGGACCACCTCCTGATGCTCTAGGAGGAAGGAGATAGGAATCCTCTCTTCCCTCAGGAGATGTACCCTGGGGCTGGATTCTAATTTCTAACCCACCCCTTGGGCTGGTTTCCAATTTAGCCACCAGTTTGCACACCAAAAAAGCAATGCCAAGTTTAAAACATGATCTCTGATTTCCTTCCTATGCTCTTAGGGGAACTTTGAAGTCTGTTCAGTGAAGGCATAAAGCTTGCCAAGAGTTTGGCATTGCTGCCTGGCTTGCAATTAAATCAGGGTGTAGGTGGCCCAACAGCACAGGAATTTGTTGCCAAAGTCCTCAACTTCTGCTGCCTTCTGACACTTGGCATCTTGTTCACAGAGATGTTTTGTGAGTGACTTAGAACATGATTCTCATCTGACCATGTCAATAAACAGAGATCCACAGTTTCACATGATACAGGACATCACAAGGCAAAGGAGTGATCATCATTTGGGATTTTTTAGTAACTAAGAAAGTGCATTTTGTGCTTCAGTATTTGCCAAGAGCAAATTTCCAAATACTTCCAGGCTGCTGGCCTTGCCGGTTGCCCAGAATTGAGCAGTTCTGCAAATCACCAGATCCAGAAGAATCTGCCTAGCAATTTATGGAGTCACCTACAGTAGGGCCCATCAGGGACGTTGAGGAGCAGGCTCCTCTTTCTCAACACACATCATTTGCCCAGCTCTGGTCCCTCTAACTCCCAGATGAGCACAAGTCTTGCATGCAAACAGTTTTCCTATTTTTCTGCCATGACAAAGCTCTCCTGGCACAACCCCTAGAGATCCCTGCAGCAAAGTGAAGTGCTAGACACACATATCACCAGATCCTAAATCCCAGACCAGGAGAACAGCCCTGAGAAAGGAACCCCTTGGGAGTAACTCTTTCAATCCATTCTTTCCCTGATTTCCAGGGAGGGTGCTCACCATGCTGAGCACAGAGGGCCCAGTGCAACACCACCCAGACACACCATGGACTGAGAGCCGCAAGGTGACAATTCCCACACAGGGAGAGAAGCGGGTGCTAGCCGGAGTGGTCCTTTTGCAGACACCTTGGGCTCAGCTATCTCTGGTCTGGTGGTGTCTGGGCAGTGGAAGGTGATTCAGGGTCAGGGAGCACATTTCTAACTCAGTCTCTAAGACCTAATGAAGGATCCGTGTAATAAGGACACATCCTGGAGGTCTAGAGGGGCTTAGTGCTCATTCACTAAAGCTGTACTGCTCTGTAGCTCTTTGGCCTTTGACGAAATGCTGGTAAAGCCATGACATGAAAGCTTATCCCTGCACTACTTGGATTGTTCTGAGATCAGTGATCCAGAGCCAGCTATCTGGCCTTCCATGAGAAACTACCTGGAAGCCACGGGGACAGTGGGCATTTCTCAACAATTAAATGAGAGCCCAGTGGGCTGGAAGAGGATTTGCACTTGGCCTTCACTGTGGGCAAGAGAAGCAGGAGAAAGGAGCCACACCTGAGATGTTGCAGTACGCCACTTTTGTATAGACTTGGGCTGCTTGTGGTTTAAAGATGACATTGATTTCAGCCGAAGAATTTGGACAGATCTCTCCCTCCTAAAACAGAAAGAGGCAGTAAATCATTTATCTTCTGTAACACCCCAGCTTGCTCAGTGGGTTGAGGGGAAGGTAATTTTGAATTTCTCTGGGCATTGCATGGAAGAAATAATGCAATTCTCAGGAGGTTTAACAAGAAATAATTTTTATTTATGAACTTTGGGTCACTCAGCAGAAGGTAAATCAGTAAACTTCACAGTATTCAAACACAGTGCAAACTTTAACTCAGCATACCTTGAGAGAACAAAGCCCATAGCCAGCACTGATCATGGCACTTAGCGAGTCGTTAAAGGATTGGGAAGGAGAAAAGTAGAGAGAAAAAGAGAAAAATAGATGGGAAAGAGAGGTGGATAGTCACCACCTGTGGATCCAGCATGGTCTCATCAGCTTCCAACCCAGGGCAGTGGGACACACAGTGTGGTGCAAGTCTTACTGTCCTTATAACCATTCCCCTCACCCAGGGCCCATCCCAGCGTGAACTCACAGCCGTGTTGTGCTTTAGGCAGAGCCAGGAGCTTTGGCACTATCTCGGGGCTTGCAGCAAGGCCGCGTGGTCGACCAACGCCATCTCAGGTCCCACATCAGAGCCATGTGGTCACTGAGGCCATTCCAGCACAGACCGATGGTTACCTGCTAAGGCTCCAA